CTCTACTATTTATATAACTCTAGCTTAATCTTTTTTCTATATAAATAGTTCTTAAATAACTTATAAGTCTTAGTATTAAATAGATAGATATATAAGATTACTAATATAGTAATAGTCTTAACTATATATTTACTAGCTCTAAAGTAAATTTTACTACTATAATAGCTTATCTTAAGATTTTAGAACTTAGTAGTATACTTTATAATACTAAAGTTAGAGAGTTAGAAGTAAATATATATAAATAGATAATAGTGCTATTTAAAGAAGTATAGATAGAGTACTTTAATAACTAATTTTAGTATATAGAGTTTAGGTTATAAAGAATAGAAATTCTTATTATCTATATACTTCTACTATACTATAATAATATTTATATTCTAATCTATAATATTATTAATATAAGAGTACTCTTCTATATTATATTAGAAATAAAAGAAATATAAAAGATAGTTATAAAAATAAAGAGTATACTACTAGTATATATAATATTATAAAGAGAAAGAAATATAAAAGAATATTATCTACTATAGTTTTTATCTTCTATAGTAAAAAGTTTATAAGCTTTATATCTAACCTTTTTATCTATCTTTATAAGCTAGCGCTTATTCTAGTATAATATCTATATATATAAATCTAGGTTTAAAGAGAAAAGTAACCTAGTCTTAATAGAAATCTAAAGACTACTTTAGATATAAGATAGACTTATATATAAAAGTTACTATAAGTGTATAAGTAGTTTAAATAAAATAAAAGATATATTTAATAATATTAAGAATAGCTAGAAGTAACTTAAAAAATAAGTAGATAATTAAGTAGATATAGAGAAATAAATTTAAAGAGAAATATTTTACGCACTATAGTAGAGCGTTTACCTAGAATTATAGTTAGTTTAAGTAGACTAGTATTAGCTAAATAGTTACCTAAAGCTTTAGTATATACTTTTAGGTAATAGAATAAAGGCTATAAAGCTAATAGTATAGCTAGATTAAATAAGATATAGCTAGGTAATAGCTAGTTTAGTTAAAAATTATAATTTATTTAGTAATAAGTTTAGTGTATTTACAAAGCTATTAAATAGCTAAATCTAACTAAGAATATAAAAATAGAGCTAAGACTAGTTAGTTAAATATTTACTCTTAATAAAGAAAAAGAAGAGTTAATATTAGCTAAATAAAAAGAATTTTCTAAAGAATAGATATTCTTAATAGCTTTAGCTAAAGATTCTAAAAGATAGTAATAAATATAGTAAAATAAAAGTAAAAGTAGTTAATCTAACTATTTTAAGGTTATTATAGATATAGACTAAAGATAGCGTAATTAAAGTATAGTATCTAAGTAGTGTAATAGTAGCTAATAGCTTTATATAAGGCTTTATAGAAGCTATTAACTAAGTATAGTAACTAATACACTAGCTTCTACTAATTAATATATCTAAGTATCTACTACTACTATAGCTATATACTATTAGATTATTTTTCTTCTAATTAGCTATAATAGTTAAGATATATTTAGAAGGTTATAATCTATTTAGAGATAAAATTATAATTATTCTTCTTACTAGCTTCTTTACCTTTAGCTAAGTATTACTTAGCTTCTTTAATAAATGTTTTAATCTTTATAAGAATATTATTAGTAATATACTTAATATCTAGGTTATATATTAAGTTATATAAGATATATTAACTCTAATCTAAAATAGATAGCGTAAGTTAGAATAGTGCTACTATAGTAAAAAAAGTAGAATAAAAGACTATAGCTATCTATAGATAGAGCTATTATAGCTAGAGAAACTAAAAAGCTTATATATATATATAAAAGTAAGATAAACTAAGATAGATAGTAAATTTTTATAGAAGTAGAATAATATTTATATTTAGAAAATATAGATAATAAAGCGCGTATCTTATACTTATAATAGCTTATACTTATTTATAGTAATATTTTATAAAGTTTATAAAATATATAGTAAGCTTTAAATTCTATATATTATAGAAGCTTTACTACTATAAACTACCTATTAATTACTAGCTAGTTTTAAACTAATTACTACTACTTTTAGATACTATTAATTAGCTACTACTATCTAAAATTAGTAACTAACCTTTTAAGGCACTTTTTATATATTAAAAATATTATCTACTAGTATAATTACTTAACTAATATTATCTTAATTAGTAATCTACTCTTTCTAAGAAACTACTACTATATAATTCTAATAAGTTTTTTATATTATATAGCTTTATATAGTAAAGCTTCTATAAGTATATTTATTAGCTTACGCGTTTAGCTTTTATAAATATAATACTCTCTTTTATTTATATTATTAGCGTAGTCTTACTTACTAGATTATAAAGTATATTATCTTAAGTCTTAGTCTATTTACGCATACTAGCTAATACTTTAAAATTACTTACTTTAGCTATATCTAATACTCTTTCTAGTAATATTTACTAGCTACTTAGTAAAGCTATAATTAATTTTAATAATACTATATACTTAGCTAATTAAGCTACTATAGAGCTTCTAAGTAGTATTACTAAATCTCTTAAGAATAAACCTACTAGTATATAATATTTTACTCTTACTAGATTAGATATTAAGCTTAAAGCTACTTCTAGAGCTATAGAGAATATTATATAAAAGATCTAAAGCGTATAAATATATTACTATAATATAGTAGAAGTATAGTAATATATCTCTACTAAAGTTAATATAAACTATAATAAACTTATTAGAAACTAAAAATAAGTCTATTTCTTATAGCTTCTATTTTCTTATAGCACTAATAAAACTATAGTAAAAAGTAAGTATAATAAGTATTATATAACTTTAATAAGTATTAGAAAAAGTTATAGCTAAACTATAGAAGTAGAAAAACTTTTTAGTCTTAAAGAAAGCTAATAGAAAGCTACTTTAGATAAGCTATAATAGCTATTTATAAAGATGTTTAAGGCTAGTAATAAAGTATTAACTAGTAGTAAATATCTAGATTTAAATAACTTTATAGTATTATAAAGTAAGCTTTTACTATTACTTAATAAGCTTACTTAGTATTTCTTTTTATAAGTTTATTTATAAGAAGAAAATATTCTAAGATAGTAAGACTATATATACTTTTTTTCTTAATTCTAGCTCTATATTAAGTATTTATTATTAGTATCTAGTAGATAAATTATATAGAAGTATAAGATTTTAACTTTATTATAGATATCTAGCTAAAGTCTATATAATCTTATCTTAAACTAATATCTATCTATTTAGTAGTAACTTTATAATATTACTATAATTAAGAGTATAGATACTACTTTTTATTTATTATTATTTAAAGTTATAGATAAAGACTATAGAATCTATATAAATTCTATTACTCTTTTATAAGCTTCTTCTCTTTATAATAACTATAAGCTTATAGTAACTAGTCTATTTTATATTACTTAGTTTTAAATACTATCTAGATAGCTTTTTTTATATTATATTACTAAGCTATATACTAAATATAAGTTACCTTACTTAAAGTAGTATAATATTATTAAGCTTTATTTTTATAAAACTTAGTATTATATACTTTTTTACTATAAGTAATAATATAGGCTATAAAGATTCTACTAATTATTATAAAGTATAACGTCTTTATAAGTAATACTATTACTAATAGTATATACGTTAAAGAATCTAAAAAGTAGTTTCTTTATTATTTTTACTTACTTACTACGCTAGAAGTATATTAATTTTTTATTTTATATATTCTTTACTAATACTATACTCTAAAACTCTTATATACTTATACTAAGATAATATATAACTTTAAAGCTTATAAGTACTATATTATAAGTAACTATATATACTAGATTAATATAGTTATAGCTTTTTAAAAGTATAATAATATTTCTAATCTTTTAGTATATAACGTAGAGTTATTACTTAAGCTTATTAATTTTATACTTAAGCTTCTTATACCTACTATTTATACTAGACTTAACTAGTTATCTATAATAGCTTAGTATAAATCTATTAATATTATAGAAAAGTATTAGACTATAAACTATATCTTATAACTAGCTATTATAATACTCTAGTACTATAATAAAAGCTTAAGCTAAATACTTATAAGCTTAAACTAAATAGTAATACTTAACTATATAATAGCTATACTTATTAACTTTTAGTAATATAGCTTAGCTATATATTATATATATAGTTCTTAAAAAGCTATATTAACTTTATATTACTTTATAATTTAGATAGCTCTTTTTATCTTTAAAGACTTTACTTAAGAGTTTATATAATATATTACTAAGACTATATCTTAATATCTATCTAACTAAAAGCTTCTCTAAGTAAATAAGCTTTAAATCTAGTTATTTTCTAATACTTTTACTTTAATATTTTATATTTAAGTATTAGGTATTAGTTAAATATACTTCTAAGAATTTATAGTTACTTTTTTTAGTTTTTAATAATTACTTCTTAAGATTACTTATACTATACTTTTTTATTAGCTTTATTTTATTACTAAACTATTATTTTTAGTTTTACTTACTATATATACTAAAAGAAAATATATTTTTACTTTTTTAAAGCTAAAATAAACTATATACTAATTAAAATTTAAAGTACTTAGATAATTTTAGAAAAAATTAAGCTACTATACTTTTCTAACTTTACTTAAATAGCCTTAGTAAACTACTATTATTAACTTACTAACTAACTAATATATATACTTAAAGTTTCTTATAAAAAAACTTTAAATTTAAGTATAAGTATAGGCTTTAAAGCTTATACTAGCTACTAGCGTAAGGCTCTTATTAGCTATAATTACTTACGTTCTTATTACTTACTTTGTACCTCTGTCTTAAGGCGTTAAGCATAAACATCTTACCGCAATGTCTAATATATCTCTTATCTAATGCGGTTATATGCATCACGATGCCTGTGAATTGCTGTCGGAACTGCTTCCTCCACGAGAAGATGCAATGCACAACATGTTGCTCGTAGGTAAACTATATGGTCCTCCCGGGCTCGATCAGCATAGATAGCTCGGTCCCGTTGATGAGACGGTACTTGCCATCCATCTCCGTCTGGTATAGCCAGGCGCCCCCCTTGTCAGAACGAGAGGCTGTCGTGAACTCATGCGTGAGATCGAAGTCAATGCATTCCGGTCTCAACCAACATAACTCAATCTCATCGAACTGGCAGTTCCGCGAAATTCCCTCGGCAGTTGTGAATCCGCACAGGCATGGGGCGTCATCCCGTGTCAGCGTTTCGATCGCTTGGGCTCCGACCGTGTAAGCTCCGCATATAGCCAGGGTAGCAACGAGAACGGCAGCAACTGTTCGTAGGATAAGGTTCTTCCGTGGCTTGGATGTGTCCTTGCTGCTCTTTGGGTAGAGTGAGGTAAGGCCGATTCGCTCCTCTATGGTGCTTTCAGATTCGGCTTCCGCGCCCATGCTCGACTGTTGGAGAACAGTCATGAAGCGTTGGAACATTGATCCTGTATACTTATGATTAAGCTGAGTCCTGGCTCCGCATTCGTTCCATGTGGGTTGGTACCTTTCTTCCTGTTTTACGGGTTAAAAAGAGAGAAGTGGTATACTTCACGAGCGAGAAGAGTACGGGCGTGTACGTAAAGACTGCACAATAGTAGCGTGTCGCTCCGATGGTGATGTTATTATCTTCGGTCGATCTTCTTGTAGTTGGCTTCAGCTGACATAATATCCAGGAAACAACAAAGTTTGACTAGAAAACGCGCAGTCTTCGGCTTCGGCTTCGGACGCGGAACTCGACCTTCAACAGTTCTAACGTGGTACCTAGGTAGCTTTCGACAGGCCCGCGGATGTGCCGAAGCAGGACCGTACCTACGCAACCTGCATGCAGTACCCCTCAGTAATGATGCTCCGAGGCTCCGTCCCGCGACATCGATCGTAAGTATCTCATTGTGATGCTCGTTATCGTTGTTGCCCCCAAAAGCGCGCAGCGGGCTCAGCTATCTCCCGATGACTTTGTATGCTGAAGGCATTGCACGTAATAGATTCTCACACTTTTTCAGTGCTTACCCTGCAATATGAATCACTCATCGCGTAGAGCGCCTCGAAATGAAGACCCCGAAGAGTCAGAGGGGCTTTTGCCATCCACGGTTCCAAGCGGTGAAGCTCGCACCAAATCCGCCACGTCTCTCCCACTGCTTTGCTCATGCTTGAGGTACGCTGTGGTGGCTATCTTGTTCTTCGTCTTAGGCTTGATATCCAACAGTGGATACCTGCGCAATGAACAGGGCTCATCTGGTACGTGGTCTTCCTGTCGCTGAATACGTGACTAACACAGTATGATATAGAGCCATCGTTTTTGGAAGAGATCAATCGCAGCACTCACCCCAACCATACCAACGTTCCTGTCTTCGCAAGAAGTAACGGACCCATCTGGCAGCAACCGCCAAGTCCAGAAGTTGACGCAGCATGGCATGCGCTAACCTCCGGTTATCCATTTTTGATAACAGAGGACGACATGCGCATCCTTGGCAAAGATCCAGACCGCTATATCAGTGTCCCCCAAAGCTTCGGCTACGGCGAAAAGAAGTTCATCACCCGATTCGCGCATCCACATAACATTCACTGCCTCGATCACATCCGGAAGCGCCTTTACCGTGATTATTACGGATACCCAAAGTAAGTTGTAGCCGCGCAAATTGCATGTGAGATATACACTGACTCCGTATCTTCACATTTGTAGCGATACAATGGATTGGATCCATACCGAGCACTGTCTCCACGCCTTGGTGGATCATTTGACGTGCTACGTCCAGTACGATGTTCTCAACTACATGTGGGTCGAAGGAGAGCCAGCGGCGGAACCTGAGCTCACCTACAATCGTCAATGTCAAGATCTGGACGCGCTGCTACGCTGGAGCAAAGATAACCGTGTCGACAAAGATTTGCGAGTATACTATATCCAGCCGGCTGCGGGTGATAAGATCTTTCCCGCAGACGCAGAGTTCCGCAATATCGAAAACGAGTACGACCAGAACAACCCCGACCGACCGTCAATGGAGGATCGACGGAAGACTTACCAGAAAGCATACCAAGATGCGATAAGCTATTGGAAAACAACAGGAGAAGTGCCGATTGAGGAACGACCTTGGTAGTAGATGTTACTTCTATCACTTGAAGATACCGAAGCGCACAAGGGGATTTGGTTGCAAAGATATCGCTATCGGACGAGATTGGGATATGCACTGTTAGTATGGAGGCAGTGTTTCGTTACTTACACGGGTATGGGCACTGTATTCACACTCCCCTACTGTGTGGTATGATCTGTTCAGGCATCACCTCTAGTCAGCTATTAGGAATGCGAGTTTGAGGTAGGTGTGATCGCCAAATTCCGAATTATCAGCACTAGCGATATCTAGTCAGCGCTAATGTAGTATCCAGCTTGGTCTATTATTTTATTATCGTTATAAATGTATTACCTCTACTCTCTCTTTTAGTTAAACAGTACATAAAGTCTTTAAGAATATTTTAATATACCTTATTAATTTTGCTAGAGGCTAGTCTATAGTTACTACCTTACTACTTTTAGCTATACTACTTAACTTATATTATATAATTTATCTTTAATAATAATTTACTAATTTTATTTAATACTATATAGCTTATATAAAGCTAATAAGATTTTTTTTTTTAAATTCTTAAGTATAAAAAAATAGTTAATATTTTATAAAAATAAAAGTACTAATATAAAATATTATTATATAGTATTATAATTACTATAATCTTAGTATTTTTTTTTATCTTTTAATTTAGCTTTTAAACTTTAGCTATTAGTATTATATAATAACTAAAGTATTTTCTTTATATACTATAAATATCTTTTTAGTACTAAATTTTATAGTTATAATACTAAAGTTTACTTTTTTTTAAAGTTACTAAATTAGTAGCTAAAATTATTATTATCTTAAGCTAAGTATTATTAGCTTTTTACTTTATAAGTACTAGCTTAAATATAATTATACTAAAGTTAATTTTTTTTATAGTTATATAAGTTAGTATTATAAAAGTTACTATTATAGAGTTATATAAAAAAGAGAAGAATATTAGTAGTATATAGCTTTATATACTATTATACTTAAAAACTTTAACTTATTATAACTAAGAAATATTCTCTTAGAAGTTACTAGTATTTTTTAGTAACTAATAGTATTTCTCTAAATTATTAGCTTTACTAGTAACTATAGTACTATAGTAATTTATTAGTAAACTAATAATTTTATAGCCTGTAAACTAGTTCTAAAAAAGTAAGGTCTATTACTAGTACACTAAAGAACGTATAACTAAAGGTTTTAGTACCTATACTATAGTAATATACTAAACTAGTAGTACTTTAGTAAATAATATTAAAGCTATTATAATTATACTATATACTAAAGTACTATCTTAAAGACCTAGCTTAACCTAGAACTAAACTATAGTCTAAGTTAAAGGCGCACTTTATTCTTTCTTTTAGTTAAATAGTATTGTGGGTAGACATAGTTTAGTACAAGCTCCGCGTATTGCATGCGGCGCAGGATATGCGGCGTGCGACGTGCGTCATGCGGACGACATCGGGTTCCGCCGATTCGACCGCGATATATCGTGCGCTGCGATCGCGCAAGCTGAATAGTGTCTGCCTAAGCGAATTTGGGCGTGCGCGAATGGCGAAAGATTCGGACAAGGAGACAAGCCGCTCATCCATTGCTGTTGTTGCCTGGTGGGCCCGGCCAGTAGCGAGCGAGTTGCATGACGACTTGTATGCATCTACGGCCTTAACGTCGACGATGGCTATCTCCGGTCTGGCCCAACTTTTCGCCGACTACATGAAATGCGGCCGAGGGTGGGCGCGCATTGTTTTCCTCTTTCGCGAATACAATATAGCTCCTATTTAGGCCGCTTGAGTTAGTCTAGACGCGTGTATATATCCAATGTCTCGCCTGTCGCTTCCGTCTCGCATCATACGAAGGCTACTCAGTGAATCGCGACACTACCAGGTTTGGGGGAAACGTCAGCCCTTTTGGCAAAAACCACACTTTGCTCGGACGCTCAAGATGAGTTCAATAGGTGGTGCAAGTATTGGCGTAGGTCTTTACGCCGTGGTAAGCAATCCAGCACAGATTGCTGCGAAACCCGAGGAAGCCGATGAAAAGAGACATCACCTGAAGAACGGCAAGGGGTTTACGAACCCGTGGGATAGCTATATCGAGTCAAGTGCTTGGGAACTGCAAATCAAGGGTATGCTCTGGTAAGTCCGGCATACGGGAATTTTATGAAGACTTTACAAGTTGCGAACTAACACTCCGTGGTAGGCGCAAGATTACCGGTCAAGCCCACAATCCAGACACCTCGCCACCGACAGTACCAGTCCACAAACCAATGTTCCTTCCCTCCCGAGAGACACCACGACTTCGTGCAACATGGCTCGGTCACGCATGCTACTATATAGAGTTCCCGAGCGGCTTTCGTGTTCTCTTTGACCCTGTCTTTGAAGAATGCTGTGCACCGTTCACTATAAAGAGCCTTAAACGCTACACGCCCCCTCCGTGTGAGATTGAAGATCTACCAATTGTCGATGCAGTAGTTATAAGCCACAATCACTACGATCACTTAAGCTACCCAACAATCCAGCGCTTGAAAAAGAAATTCCCCGAGGCGCATTTCTTTGCGCCCCTAGGAAATAAAGAGTGGTTTGAGAAGAGCGGGGTTACGAAAGTCACAGAATTGGATTGGTGGGAGAGTAGAGATGTCAAGTTGGAGGAATTGTCGCAAAAGGGGGGTAGGGCTGGCTCTGTTTCTGTGAGTTCGGTGGACATGGGCAAGACTAGTGGTATTACAGCAACGATTGGTGCGCTGCCTTGTCAGCATATCAGTGCAAGGACGCCCTTCGATAAGGCCAAGACGCTTTGGGCAAGCTGGAGTGTGGAATCTGGCGGAGCGAAGGTCTACTTTGCTGGGTACGTCTGCTTTGTACCACACTCATGACTCATTCTTTATGCTGACCCTACCCAGTGACACAGGCTACCGCACGGTTCCGGCTAGCATTCCAACCACAGAAGACGACTACTCGGCTGCGTACTCGCACTTACCCACTTGCCCGGCTTTCTCACAGATCGGTCAACATCGCGGCCCCTTCGATCTCGGTCTTATCCCTATTGGCGCCTACGAACCTCGTTGGATGTACAGTAACGTGCATGCTAGCCCCAAAGATGCGGTCAACATCTTCGTGGACACGAAATGCAGGAGAGCGCTAGGCATGCATTGGGGTACTTGGGTGTTGACCGAGGAAGAGGTCATGGCACCGCCAAAGGAGCTGCAAGAGGCTTGTGAGTGGAAGGGGATCAAGGGAGGCAAAGAAGGTTTTGGGGTTTGCGACATCGGGGAGAGTACTGAGTTCGAGTCCGGACAGGCTACAAGAAACTAAATGT